AAAATTGAAGGGGGTCTGAATACTTTCCGTACCCACTGTATATATATATATATATATATATACAAGAATGCATAATTTCTACTACCAGAGAGACCAAGACCAACACCAATACCAGTGCATGAGTAATGACTGTATGTGTGTTGGTAATAATGACACCTGTGCTACTATAATACTTCGTCCTGCTTCTGTGAGACCTTTAGCAATAACATCATAGTCCCTACAGCAGTCAGGCCAGTTTTGGACTGTGAGCTTAATAGCGACACATACATTTGCATTGATGCTCAGTACCATATGTACTGCAACACAAGAATGCATTATTTTAGCTTCTGGAGATATCAGAACCAAAACCAATATCAGTACAGTTGCTGGAGTAATGACTGTTACTGCAGTTTTAATAAGGACTCCTGTTTGTGCTACAGTTATACTTCATCCTGCTTCTGTACAAATTACGGCTATAATATCACGCTCTCTTCATCACATAATCCAGTCACAATCCTTGACTGTCTGCTTTATAATGACACGTACATCTGCACTGGTGCTCAGTACCACATGTACTGCAACACAAGAATGCATAATTTTTACTTTTGGAGGTATCAGAGCAAAAACCAATATGAATGCTGGAGTAATAACTGTTACTGCATTGTTAATGAGGACACCTGTACATGCTACAGTAGCACTTTGTCCTCCTGTTTCTGTGAGACTTTTGACAATATCATTGCTCTGACTACAGCAGTTAGTCCAGTCACAGGCCCTGACTGTGGTCTTTATAACGATACATACATCTGCACTGGTGCTCAGTATCGCATGTACTGCAACACACAAATTCATGATTTCAACTACCAGAGATATCGGTACAAATATAAATTCCAGTGTGTGAATAATAACTAACTGCTTTGGTAATAATGACACTTGTTCATGCTCTGGTAGTGCAGAGGTTAAAAAGATCAAAGATCAAAATGATCATATAAATGACGGAATCAATGTGATTCAACTGTAATAAAAAAGAAAAAGAGTTAAACTCAATATGATTTAAGTGTAATTGTTGGAGTGGTTGCAGGTTGTGGCTGACGCGAGCTGTGCTGTGCGTCACAGCCAATACAGACTGACGCAGAGACAACAGCACGAGTCCGTGTCTTAATTTATTAATGTCTATTTTCCCCCTTTATCAGGGTGTAACAGTAGAACTTTGTCCTCCTGCTTCTGCGAGACTTATGGCAATATCATTGCTCTCAATACAGCAGTTACTCCAGCTTATGACTGTGCGCGTTATAATGACCTGTACATCTGTACTGGTGCTCAGTACCACATGTATTGCGATACAAGTCTACATGATTTCAATTATGATAGATACCATTACTACTGTTTAAAAAATAACTGTAACTGCTTTGGTAATAAGGACTTCTGTGTATGCTACAGTAGCACTTCATCCTCCTGCTTCTGTACAAATTACAGGAGTAGCATCACTATTCCTGCAGCAGTTAGGCCAGTGTATGACTGTGGGCTTTATAACGACATATACATATGCACCGGTGCTCAGTATCGTATGTTCTGCAACACAAGAATGCATCATCTCTACTACTGGAGGTATATAAACCAAAACCAATACGAGCACAAATGCTGGGGTAATAACTGTGACTGCACTGGTAATAAGGACACATGTACATGCTCTAGTAGCACTTTGTCCTCCTGTTTCTGTGAGACTAATATCCCCACCCCAACCACAATCAGTCCAACTATTGCAGGTGAGCGTGTTTCTAGACCTGAATGTGGAGTTTGATTTTACTGTATTCACGTTGTATTGATGAATTCCCTCATTTTAGGTCTGATAATCACACTGCCGGATCAATGCAGGGTAAGCTGAATATTTCCATTAACAGAGTGCACAGAGTCTTTCAGTTCCCTTTCATGGGAACTTCGAACTGCGTCCTCTAGGGGTCGACGTACGACTTCGTGCTCTTTCTGAGTGGTTTAACATGTTTTTTTTGTCCACAAAAGAAAAACTCCATAACAGACTGACCCTGTCTTCGAACTGTACATAGCATACTGACCTGATTTCAGAGGGATACCCCAGTTTGAAATCATGCCATCTTCCACAGCATTTCTGTATTTAAACTGTAACATAAATAAATAACCCTTAGAACTGTATGTGCACATTTTCTATTATTTTTACAATATGAGTCAATTAACCGAGTTTGAGGGATGGATGAGACTCGAAATGTCCATTTTACTGAGGAAGTTAAGAAGGGAATGTTGGGAAGCTGAGAAAAAAACTAGTGAACGATTACCAGCAGCTGCCAATGTTACAGCAGCTATCACAGCCCAGGTGGAGTCACTGGGTTAAAACTGTTAAAAACCTGATCATTAATTACACATGGTGCTGTAGAAGGTCACTGAAAATGCAATTTATAGGAACTGGACATGTGAGCAATTGTTAGATATATATATATTTTTTTTTTGGGTGGGGGGGGACAAAACAATGGACTTAAGCTCATATTTCCACTGCTAATTTATTTTCTACCTGTTAAGGAATTTTGTCCTCTGAACTGGTTTGTGCATAAAGAGAAATACACTAGACTGTCAGATGTGACAACAGCTTTCATATTTTCATGACTTTAAATATTGGTTCTTATTGCCTTAAAAACTTTTATAACATGATTCGCAGTCAGATGTAGGATTGGGAATAAAAAATCAATTCAAATCCTGGAATCATTTACCTAAGGTCTGATATCATATATCGATTCATGTGTGCATATTTTAATGTGATTTTGAGTGCCGGTCTTTGACTTCTGGTGACCTTAAGCCAAAACGTTGTCTGTTTAAAAAAAAGTAAAAAATGACCCCGACCCCTTAATCCATAATTTCAGATCACTTTCACTGTCAACAAACAGTCAATAATACAATAAATAAAAAAATAAATAAAGAAATAAATAGGACAAATACAACAGAAAAAAAGATTACATGAAATAAACAATTTAGCCTACTAAAAATAATAGCCTAGTAGTCAAATGTAAATTAAAACAAAACAAACAAAAAAAAACATAGTATGTTCATAGCCTTCACTGTATGAATTAAATATACAATGATTCTTATCAAAGTTACTAAAGTTATTCAGTGAAGAGCAGTGAATGATTCTCTCATTTTCTTAATGACAGAGACAGCAGTAGGTTTATTAGGCTGCTGTCACTTTAAGACCAAACTTTCCCAACTATTTATGTTCACTTAAGACATAACTGACTTTAAGTGAAATCACTCCAAGACTAACATTTTGACTTACAATAAATTCACCTTCATCAGAGTTCTCAATTTGTAAATAGAAAAGATGACTAAATATAAAGTACAAACATATTTTATTTTATTTTATTTAATGCAGGCTGATTTTCTTTAATGTTTCTAAGGTTTCAGGGACTAAGCAGCTCATGTTCTGTGGCTCAGCCTTTCACCAAAGAGGTAATTATCCTGCCAAGCCATACATCTACACATGTGCCAAGGCATGCCAAGAAAGTGTGACTTTTTGAAAATGGGCATATAAAATCTGCCTTGAAATTTAGGTGTAACTGGGATGCCAACAAAGTTCCTTCCAGCAAATTGTGGAGGGATGCAGGTAAACATGCAGTGAAAAACGCTGTATAGTCACCATTATAGTAATCAGTGTTTGTTTTACGTTCTTGTCCCTTGACTTTTAACATTAGTTCCCCTTCTAGGGAACTCAACGCTGCATCCTAGTGGACACTTTGGGGAACGCTGTCTGCGTGATCGGTACCTGAAGCATGCATAAAACAACTCCAATCCTATTGGTCCACGTGGCCTGTGACGTCATAGGCGGGTACCCAAAAGTGTCCACGAGGACGCAGCGTCTCGTTCCCTCTCGGGGAACCATGGTTACATGAGTAACCCGAGACGTTTTGTTGTACCTCACTGATACCAGTTTTCTTCTTAGCAAGAATTGGACCTTAAGATAAAGTGTGACCAAACATGTAAGCCAACTTGCTGGGTTACTTTAACACAGCATGTGTTCTGTTCAATATTTACCCTGCACTCGGTTGCCAATTGTGTTGTTTTTAGCCCAGCTCTTCTTAAAGTGTAAGCAAGAAAATCTTGTCTGTCGTTATTGTTTCTGTCATTCTTGTGTATGAGCTACACCTTCATGAAATCTAAACAAGCAATGCAAATTAACCCTCCCTTCAAACAAACAACCCAATAATTCAATAAATGCTGCTTTGTGGGATTTACAATACAGTATTCACTAGGATTTAAAGACATTAACATGTTGAGATTAGTTCTATGCAAAAAAATTAAATAAATAAATAATTTCTCAGGGAGAGAATTTACACTGCAAACAGAAAATGCAAAGGAGGAAAATAATATAAATCTTTCTTTCTCAAAACACTAGTAAGTAAACTATAAGTAGAAATTAATTATAGTAGTGTTTAATGGGTAAATAGGAAGCACTTTATTTTACAGTCCTGTTCCACATATACATACTATGTACTTTCTATAGTGATTACAATAACTGGGTAACAACTGGATACTAACCCTGAACCTATCCCTAAAGCTAACCCTAACCCATGAAGTTACCTTATATTATCCAGTACTTTCTTAGGTAAGTACACAGCAAGTACAGGTAAGAGCACACTGTAAAGTGCAGTCGGTTAATGAGTGTGTCATTTTAAAATGGCCATGTTTTCCAACTGTTTTGAATAGGGCTATAAATAGATACATGTTTTAGTCGCAATTAATCAGACCTTGTTAAACAAGGTGAATGGTCAATTTAAGACGTCAGATTGAAGTAGTAAACCACCCTAAGCAAGAAAATCTTATCTGTCTTTTTTTCTGTCATTCTTATATAGGAGCTACACCCTCTTATAATCATGATAAATGTCTTATAATCCAAACAAGCAACCCAAACTAATCCTCCCTTCTTTTTGAATGTGATCATAATAAAAAAATAAAAAATAAAATCTTCAATGATGTTGTTTGAATTGTGCAAAAAAATTAAAAATTAATTAAAAAATGTGATTGTTTGAATGCATCCACTTACTGGATCATTGGATTGCAAACATTCTTGGAGTTCAGCAGCATAACATAATCTGATTTGCGAAATCAGAGCCTGAGCGAAATCAGGTTCAAGGCTTAGAATAGAAATGTACGTCCACCAGGGTTGCGCTTGCACCATCGTAGATGCTCAATGTGATAAACTCCCGACTCCCAAGATGGATGGTCTTATTACTGGGCTCTTCCATTGGATAAAATGTAACGGCCAACTTGGATAACATGTGCCTTGATAACCAATCACTTTACAGCCATAACATCGTTGAATTTCTGGGTTGTGCAACAGTCATTCACTGTTTACGGATACCATAGGAATGATTAAGAAGCGGCGTAAACTGAATCGTATCTGTCGCAAAATTGTCTGAGACTTCTCATATTAAACAGCTTTTTTCGATGTAAGCTCTAAAAATAGATCAAACCAAAATTAATGTTTAATGGCAATCATGTTGAAGATTAGCCGAAAGACTGCAGATTAAAAAATTATAAGCTATTTTCTCATACACACAGTTTATTCAGTGCAGTAAAGCCTCTCCTCCATTAACATCCATTAAAAACTCTGGTCTGCTGCCCTGCTGTATGCACCGATACACTTTGTTTTGTTAACCTTGCAGGATTACTTTCAAGTGGCTTTTTTCCCAAGTTCATCTTACTGCATGACGTAAATTAGGTTAATAATGCAATTTTGTGTGCTTCAGTAGTTTATTTGCGTGAAATAAATGTAACTCCTTAAAGGCACAACATGTAAGATTTTCGTAATAAAATATCCAACAAACACTTGCACATTGTTATATATTTCATGCAGTTGTGCACTTACATTATCCCAAAAGTTTCCAAGGATTTGTAAATCCAGAGAAATTTCAATTTTAAATGATGTCTCGTCCCGGTTCATTGTCGCCTATCAATTACGTAATATCAACATTATCGGTTTCCACTTGTAGAAACTATGTCAACACACGTGGACAAAATTGCTGCTGCAGTGAAACTAAATCCATTACGGCAGTCGCGAATAAAATAAAAATGAAATTAAAAGTGTTGACTGCAGCATTAAATTTAGATCTGCTCAATGTTGCACCATGATTCTTATTCCGCATTTTAACAGTGTTGCGCGTTATAACCAATCACACACGAGTTGAGTTTCTGAATGCAGCGGCCAATCAGAGGCTTTCAGATGAGTCATCGCTGAAACACTGGAGTTTTGTTGAGTGCGTGCACTTGCTGAGTGTATTCTCTCATCATAAACAACGAGTAAATTAGGTTAATAATGCAATTTTGTGTGCTTCAGTACTTTATTTGCGTGAAATAAATTTAACTCCTTAAAGGCACAACATGTAAGATTTTCGTAATAAAATATCCAAAAAACACTTGCACATTGTTATATATTTCATGCAGTTGTGCACTTACATTATCCCAAAAGTTTCCAAGGATTTGTAAATCCAGAGAAATTTCAATTTTAAATGATGTCTCGTCCCGGTTCATTGTCGCCTATCAATTACGTAATATCAACATTATCGGTTTCCACTTGTAGAAACTATGTCAACACACGTGGACAAAATTGCTGCTGCAGTGAAACTAAATCCATTACGGCAGTCGCGAATAAAATAAAAATGAAATTAAAAGTGTTGACTGCAGCATTAAATTTAGATCTGCTCAATGTTGCACCATGATTCTTATTCCGCATTTTAACAGTGTTGCGCGTTATAACCAATCACACACGAGTTGAGTTTCTGAATGCAGCGGCCAATCAGAGGCTTTCAGATGAGTCATCGCTGAAACACTGGAGTTTTGTTGAGTGCGTGCACTTGCTGAGTGTATTCTCTCATCATAAACAACGAAGTGCAGATGTACGTATGATGTAAGACGGAGATTCATTCATCAAACTGTGTTTAGACAGCTTTACTGATTATAAGGGGAGTTTTTTGAGAGTGCTTAAACTCGCATTAGACTGAAGTCAGGCATACTGTTCTTTGACAATGTAACGTTAAATGTTCTTTGCTTGCTTTCTCTATATAATTTATTCGCTGTTTGAATAACTTTGGAAGGTAATAAAAAAAATTAATTCATTATATCCGTGAACATGATTCGGACATCTCTGGATGGTAAAAATGACATCTCCCATCATTCCACTCTCCTTCATAGCGTCATCAAGCTTCGCCTTTGTTATTGTTTTGAACACCTTCATGAAATCTAAACAAGCAATGCAAATTAACCCTCCCTTCAAACAAACAACCCAATAATTCAATAAATGCTGCTTTGTGGGATTTACAATACAGTATTCACTAGGATTTAAAGACATTAACATGTTGAGATTAGTTCTATGCAAAAAAATTAAATAAATAAATAATTTCTCAGGGAGAGAATTTACACTGCAAACAGAAAATGCAAAGGAGGAAAATAATATAAATCTTTCTTTCTCAAAACACTAGTAAGTAAACTATAAGTAGAAATTAATTATAGTAGTGTTTAATGGGTAAATAGGAAGCACTTTATTTTACAGTCCTGTTCCACATATACATACTATGTACTTTCTATAGTGATTACAATAACTGGGTAACAACTGGATACTAACCCTGAACCTATCCCTAAAGCTAACCCTAACCCATGAAGTTACCTTATATTATCCAGTACTTTCTTAGGTAAGTACACAGCAAGTACAGGTAAGAGCACACTGTAAAGTGCAGTCGGTTAATGAGTGTGTCATTTTAAAATGGCCATGTTTTCCAACTGTTTTGAATAGGGCTATAAATAGATACATGTTTTAGTCGCAATTAATCAGACCTTGTTAAACAAGGTGAATGGTCAATTTAAGACGTCAGATTGAAGTAGTAAACCACCCTAAGCAAGAAAATCTTATCTGTCTTTTTTTCTGTCATTCTTATATAGGAGCTACACCCTCTTATAATCATGATAAATGTCTTATAATCCAAACAAGCAACCCAAACTAATCCTCCCTTCTTTTTGAATGTGATCATAATAAAAAAATAAAAAATAAAATCTTCAATGATGTTGTTTGAATTGTGCAAAAAAATTAAAAATAAATTAAAAAATGTGATTGTTTGAATGCATCCACTTACTGGATCATTGGATTGCAAACATTCTTGGAGTTCAGCAGCATAACATAATCTGATTTGCGAAATCAGAGCCTGAGCGAAATCAGGTTCAAGGCTTAGAATAGAAATGTACGTCCACCAGGGTTGCGCTTGCACCATCGTAGATGCTCAATGTGATAAACTCCCGACTCCCAAGATGGATGGTCTTATTACTGGGCTCTTCCATTGGATAAAATGTAACGGCCAACTTGGATAACATGTGCCTTGATAACCAATCACTTTACAGCCATAACATCGTTGAATTTCTGGGTTGTGCAACAGTCATTCACTGTTTACGGATACCATAGGAATGATTAAGAAGCGGCGTAAACTGAATCGTATCTGTCGCAAAATTGTCTGAGACTTCTCATATTAAACAGCTTTTTTCGATGTAAGCTCTAAAAATAGATCAAACCAAAATTAATGTTTAATGGCAATCATGTTGAAGATTAGCCGAAAGACTGCAGATTAAAAAATTATAAGCTATTTTCTCATACACACAGTTTATTCAGTGCAGTAAAGCCTCTCCTCCATTAACATCCATTAAAAACTCTGGTCTGCTGCCCTGCTGTATGCACCGATACACTTTGTTTTGTTAACCTTGCAGGATTACTTTCAAGTGGCTTTTTTCCCAAGTTCA